AAAAGAAGAGAGAGAGAGAGAGAGAAAGAAACCAAGATACTGCCCGGTTTGTGACTTGATTATGATGGCACTTACATCGCCGTTTTGAACCTTGGTCACGTACGTCTTGCGCACTGCCTGGAATGCCTCCTCCGACTGCCCGGTGCGCTTGGCTTTCTTCTCAGCGGGCGTGTCCTCGGCGTCGGAGACTTCAATATTGAGAAGGCCATCGTATTCCGAGTCACTCATTGCGGACCGGGGCGGCAAGGCTGCGTGAATGTCATGGGTGAGGTGCTCTCTTCAGAAACGAATTTTTTTGCAACTCAAAAGCTGGTGCTGGTTGAGGTTGTGATTAGAAGCCCCACTTGCGACTTACACCGAGCAATCATTCGGACATGTATCACGTTGCGCCTATTCTTATCCGATCTGCATCGTTGTTACATTTACATAATATTTTCCCTCAATGGATTTCACAGCCAGTGTCTACCTCGAATCACGCTCGTCGAAGCCTTGCCGAAGCGAGTCCAGCCGGTAACAGCGGTCGCCGTTGCCTGAGTCTTGAGTCGCTGTATGCACCCCACAACGCCTGAGAAGGCCTGTAACGACCTCCGCCACCCAGTGACAGCTCCCCACTAACCTGTTAATTACCAAACCTCGTTTTAGGCCTGGCAGCCACAAGATTCTTACCTTGAGCATCTTCAGCCTTGCGCATAAATTCTGGTTGCGCAACTATCATATGTGGTAGAAACCCGGACCAAATATGCCTCTGTAAGTTCCTTCAGCCGAGAATCCCTTATTCGATAGAGGCATTCCGCTCACCCAAATCTCAAGTCATCTGCTAGGCAAGAAATCATGGAACGTATATAACAAGGACAACATCGAGCGCGTGCGTCGCGACGAGGCCAAAGCCAAAGCGGCCGAGGAGGCCGAGGAGCATCGCATGCAGGAAGTCGATGCGGCACGACGACTAGCCATTCTACGTGGCGAAGTACCGCCCCCGATTGAACAAGATGAAGAAGCTGCCGCGCTCGAGCCAGAGGCGGCGAGCGGGAGCAGGCCGTCGCACAGTCTTGGCACAGGCAGGCGGCCGCGAAAGCGCCACGGCGAAGACGACACCGACTTTGAGCTGCGCATCGCCAAGGAGCGCGAGCTCACTGTGAGCCGGGCCGCCACGGAAGCGAAGCGCACCACGAGCTCAGCGCCCATTGTTGACCGCCGGGGTCACATTGACCTGTTTGGCAGGGACAGCAACAACAAGAACCACGCCCATACCGAGAAGAATGAGGATGCGGAGCGAGAGGCGAGCCGCAAGAGGCGTGAATACGAAGACCAGTATACAATGCGCTTTGCCAACGCCGGCGGCCAGCCAGGGCTCGATGCGCCCTGGTACTCGGCGGGCGGGCGCAAGGAGCAGCAGACAATGGCGGTGATGAAGAATGTCTGGGGCCGCGACGACCCGCAGCGCAAAGAGCGCGACGAGAAGCGCATCGTGGCGAGCGATCCGCTGGCAATGATGAAGCAGGGCGCCGCCAAGGTGCGCGAGCTCAAGCAGGAGCGTAAAAAGTTTCAAGACGAGCGGGAGCGGGAGCTGCGGCAGCTGAAGAGGGAGGATGAGCGGAGAGGGCGCCATGGGGGGCGGGAGCACCGCTCAAGGAGGCATAGGTCGCGGTCCCCAACGTCAGATGAGAGGCGAGGAGGGTCTGGTCATGGTGGGGGGTCTCGTAGAAGAGGAGAGGATGAACGAGAGAGACATCGTCACCGAGATCGCGACCGGAGCAGAGAACGGAGTCGTGATGAAAGACGGCGGCGGCATCGATCACACTCACGAGACCGAGATAGACATGGCCGACAGGATGATGAGACAGGACGTAAATGATACCCCATATGATTATCTATTAAACTATATTATGATCACACATGTTTCAACGCTGTACATTAATTCCAGTCTTATAGCCGCCACCTTATTTCTCCGTCCACGGTAGCTTAATCTCCACGGGCCGCATGTCGTTTGTCGTCATGTCCACCAGCGGCTGCGCCTCCATCCCGCGCAGCGCCTTGCTTATCTCTCCGTACACGGCCTCTGAGACTCCCTCGCGGCGACTCGAGTACACGTCGACGCCCTCCTTTGTAAACAGCGTCGGCGCAAACCACGTCACCGCCCAGCGCTCCCCGGCGGGCGTCTCGCCCCAGCCCAGCACCTCCCAGTGGCTGGACACGAAGAACAGCCAGCCCTTGCCGCGCCAGTCCCAGCCGCAGCCGCCGTCGCCGTCGCCGTCGTTGCGCGTGTCGACGCCAGCGACCGTTTTGAGCACGCCCACCTTGTCAGACGGCTCGTACTCGACCAGGTCGTCGATGCGCGCGCGGCCGTCCGCGGGTCGGGCGGCGGCGAGCGGCGCGTAGGTGATGCGCACGTTGCGCGCGGAGCGCCACATGGAGAGCGTAGAGTGCGTCACGGTCCATGTGCCGGTGAGCCAGTCGATCGACGGCGGTGGCGGCGGTGGTGGTGACGAGGAGGAGGAGGAAGAGGTGGCTGCCGCCTTGGCGCGGGCGTATTTTGAGGGAAGGATGAGGGTGATGGGGCCAATATCCGCCGCCATGGTTGGTGATGTGTGCGAGGGTGTGTGTATGAAGAATTCCCGTTATAAAATGCGGCAGAAACCCAAGATCATGCTGGATACTTTTCGTTTAACATTGAGAAGAGAGAAAATCGAGGGGACAGTTGATGAAACTGCTGAGGCGCGCGCAGAATGGAGCCATGACGTCTCGGAAGCTGTTGGTGCCGAGATGTAACCAGCTTCCAAGCGCGCCAGCAGAATTGTTCAATAGCCCACGCCTTTTGCGTTTGCTGTACAATCCAACAAAGTATGTTATTGAAGCCGCAGAATTTTCACTGTTTTTAGATGGTCTTTTTGAAAAAAACCAGCGCACAAAAGTCATTGGCGCTTCGTCAAGCCCCAGAACGTGTGTCTGTAAATAATTATAGAACTTGCATAAATATCAGTGACCTGGTAAATAATAGATGTGAATTTGATGTGGCAATGTACTCGGAGAACTGCCCCGGCCTAGACAACGAGAAAGAAGAAGCGCAAGAACGAGGGTAGATGGCCATGTTCATATGGCGGAGAAATTGATTAGTTGGAGACGATGTAAGATTCTCTCAGCGTCGTAATTGTCGTGTCCGCCGTGTCAGCAAGCAAGATAACTCGTGGCAGAGAAAGGAACAAAAATGGGCGCTAATAAATGTCCCTCGATTTTGGGCAATTTCCAAGAAATCTATCCAGACCGCTCGGTAGTTTGGCTGGCTAGTGTCGTGTTAGTGCCCGCCTTATCAATAGTAATTATGCTCGGAGTTGGGTCATGGCTGGGGGTTCGGGGAAAGGCTGGAGACGGGTCGGCTTCTTGGCAACTTTAGAGTCAATTGAAATTTCTCTCTAACAAAAAGGGGAAACGAGAAGAGACTAGCCATACGATGTAGGGACATTGTAAATCTTTGAGGGCTGTAGGTCGAAAGGCGTTGGTTTGGTAATTGATGTTGCCCTGTTGCAAAGGCCGATGAGTGCCACAATAGCTTAAGAACAGAAGCCAAATCGGGTTTTCGATCGCTCGACCACGTCTCGAATGCCTTATCGCCGATTCAATTTGTGCCGCTTTAGCCCTCGCGAGTAACTTTGCGTAGGGTTTGCATGCGCAGGGGCATCGGGCATCTTATTGGGTCTTGAAAGCAGCCGTCGGCAACTGCAATGGATACGACGAAGCTCTAGACTGCGAGCAGGTTCCTGACGGTCAGACTAGCGGTGGAGAAGGAAGTGAAGCCAATACAATACTCCGAGGCCTGCCATCTATTGGGTGCTATTTCGGCCCTGCATGGGCTGCGGACATGACAGCTCGTGTGGCGTTCAGGGCCAAGATTACCGCTTTCGTCACTGCCGGATCGAAAAGATGAAAACGCCCAAGTTCAAGCGTTGCATCGCCCCAGTAGGCTATGATTTGCCGGGCCTTTGATGAATGAACCGCAAGGGCATAATTACTTTGAAATTACTCCGCCTGGGCCTTTCACTAATAACCCAGAGTTGCCTCGATGTTTCTCAGAATGCTACTTCTTTGAATATCCTTACTGGTTATTCCACCAATACATTAAACCATGCGACTGCCACCAAGGCTAGGGCTTATCAGCGTCCTCCTCAATGCAGGTGTATTCGCCAACAACATCCTCAATGCTGTACGTACAACAACAGTGGTACATCTTTTTTTTTTCCTGTGCAGATTATCCTGACTCTCGAAATGTAGTGCTCTGCGCTCTCCGACTCGCTCGGGGACCGGGTCGCCTACCCCAACTCGACGACCTACACCACCTGCATGTCGTATTGGTCCGCGCGGCAGAGCACACAACGTCCCGCCTGCCTCGTCACGCCCGCGACCGCCTCCGAGGTCGCCCTCGTCCTGACCACACTAATTAGCGCCTCTGCGCCATTCACCGTCCGCGCCGGCGGCCACACAGCGCACGCCAACGGCTCCAACACCGACTACGGCGTGACGATAGACCTCGCGCTCCTGCGCACGCTCCGTCTCGTCGACGACGACGGGACAATCGTGTCGGTCGGCGCCGGCCTGCGCTGGGGCGACGTCTCAGCGGCGCTGGACCCCCACGGGCTCGCGGTGCTCGGCGGTCGCGTCGCCGACGTTGGCGTGGCCGGCCTGCTCCTCGGCGGCGGCTTCTCGTACTTTTCGGGGCGCCACGGCTGGGCCTGCGACAATGTGCGCGGCTTCGAGGTGGTGCTCGCGTCGGGCGAGATTGTGCACGCGTCGGCCGAGCAGCACCAGGATCTATTCAGGGCCCTCAAGGGCGGCGGCGGCTCCAGCTTTGGCGTGGTGACGAGGTTTGATCTCGCGACGATTCGGCAGGGCGACTTGTGGACGAGGACTGTCGTTTTTGCCGGCGGCCAGGCAAAAGAGGCAATCGCCGAGGCGGCGACGGCGCTCTTCACACGGGGCATCGAGGACGATCCCGACGCCCATGCGTACTTTGTGCGTACGCATCAGCCCAGCTATGGCGGCTTCATCAACCTCGCCAGCTTCTTTCATGCCACGCCGCCGCCGCCAGCTCTCAATGCATCGACATACGCCACACCGCCTGCCTTTCAGCCCTTTGACGCCATTCCCGGTGCCCTCAGCAACATCAGCATGGTCGCCAACCTCACCACCGTGTCCCGGTCCATCTCGACCCCTTATGGGCAGCGCCAGGCCTGGTCCAATATCGCCTTTGCCGCCGGCTCGCCCACCGTCATCACAAAGCTCCTCTCATTATGGGAAGACGCCATCCTGGATCTCGTCCCGCAGGCTGCCGCCCGCGGCGCCACGTACTCGCCCTTTGCCATTTACCAGGCCATTTCCAGCAGCCACCTGCGCGCCTCGCACGAACGCGGCGGCAACTCCATGGGCCTGTCGCCCGACGACGGACCCATGGTCATGATGCACTTCCTCACAGCCTGGGACGACGAGGCACTCGACGAGGCCGTGCTGCAGTCTACGCGGGAGCTGGTGCGCGCTGCGGAGGAGGAGACGCGGCGGCGCGGCGCGAGTCGACGGTTCGTGTACATGAACTATGGTGGTGAATGGCAGCATGTTTTGCAGCGCTACGGGCCCAAGAATTACCTGGAGCTGCTGCAGACGTCGCTGCGGTATGATCCGCAAAGAGACCTGCAACGGCTGTGGAGAGGCTACTTTAAGCTCTACTGAGAAAGAGCTGTGGCCCTTTTCTGCCTTGCTCAAAGTGCACGTCGTGTGGCTTCGGCGTACAGCACTAGCAAGTGTTGCATTATTTGCTCGTTTCCGATTTACCGATAATTGTACATGTACACACCTGTCCAGGCTAGCCCGATGCTGGAGACCCCAGACTGCCCGACCCTATTTTTATATATTGTGTAGCTTCACAGCATTGTAAGGGGAGTTGACATTAGGTTTTGATCGCAGTTATATAATCGCAAGTCGCCCCATGAGTGGCCGAGCCTTTGCGGTTCTGGACACCCCCCGGACCCGAGTGACGTCGAGATTTGCCCCAACTAGGCCGCAGGAGAGAGTCGTACAGCCCGGCCAAAGTTGACAGAAAACGTTTTTACAGTGTAGCTTTTCTCTATTTGTTTTATTGTTTGCATACAAATGGGACGGTTCTCGCCTGTTGAAATAGGCCTGCCGTCTGCCACCACCCACCTAAGCGAGAAGCGAGCCCAGTCAAGAAATCGCCTCATTATGTCGGTTCACTGCGACTACTGGCAGCCGTCGTTGACTTCCATTGCATGATCAGGAAATAACATCTCCCTTCCATTGTATTGCGCCAATTTTTATCCCCCACACCATAGTGTTACAAGATTCGTAAATGCAATGGGCCTTTTCGATCCCCGTCGTCCGGTACCCCATGATTAAATGTTAATCAAACAAATGGCTCGTCACTGGTGTTTAGCCCATGATCATGCCCTTCATGCCGGACAGATCACCCTCCTTGGCAGCGATTTCAAAGTAACCGTAGATGATGCTATACAATGATTAGTAACCGAATTGAGTCTTCAATAGAGAGACCGAGCAACTTACGTGACAGCGAGGAGAGTACCAGTACCAGAGCCGAGGGCGCCCATGAGGTCGGACGCAACAGAGAGGGCACCAATACAGGCACCACCAAAGGCAGCAGCGGTGGGAATAATGCGCTTGAGCTCCTTGTACATGCTCTGGTCACGGTGACCGGCCATGACGAGACCCTGATCCTTGAGCTGCTTGGCGACGTCACGAGGGCTAGAGCCGGAGACCTCGATCCAGGTCTTGGAGAAGAGGGCGCAGGCACCAAGCATGTAGACGATGTAGGTGACGGTGTGAATGGGATCGAGCAGAGCGTCCTTGAAGTTGAGGGGGGGCGACATATAGTAGACGAGACCAGAAACGGCGTGGAGCTGGGCGGAGCCGTCCTTGGCCTCCCAGATACCGAAAAGGCGGACGAGAAGGTTGTCAGAGAAGCGAGAGTAGAGCATCTGGCTGATGAGGAAGACGTTGGAAGACAGAGCAGACTGCAGCATGATGGGCATGTTGGAAGTGTAGAAGAGACGGACAGGGTAGGAGCCGCGAGCACCACGCTGGCGGGAAGACTTGACGGGAATCTCGACACGGAAACCCTGGAGGTAGATGACAGCGACGAAGACGAGAATCGTGGCGAACAAGTTCATGATGTTGGGGAGGTTCTGGCGGTAGAAGGCCTCCTGGAGAGCACGCTGCTTGTTGGGCCAGGTCATGAGTAGGTGGAAGAGAGCGATGACGGCACCCTCGAACTCGGGGCCACGACCAGTGTTGATGGTGGTAGGAGAAAAGGCCTTCCACATGATGGATTCGCAAATGTTGGTGGCAATGAAGAGAGAAATACCGCTGCCGAGACCGTATCCCTTCTGGAGAAGCTCGTCGAGGAGAATGACGATCATGCCGGCGACAATAAGCTGGAGAATCAGGAGGAAGACGATACCAGCACCAAGGTCACCAGGAGGTCCGTAAAGGCCAGAGAAGACGTAGACGGTGGCGGTACCGGCGGAGAGGATGAAAGCCAGGAGCTTCTGGGCAGTCTGGTAGAGTTCGCGGTCGGACTTGAGGTCGAGGTTGACGTCGATCATGTGGGTGCCGGCGAGAAGCTGGAAGACCATACCAGAGGAGATGATGGGGGTAATACCCAGTTCCATCAGAGTTCCTCTGTTACTGGCCATGACCATACGTAGCCAGTAGAGAGGGTCCGAGTTGTCGGAAGAGACAATGCCGTAAAGGGGCATTTGGCTCATGACCAGGAAGATGAGGAGAGTCAGGGCAGTCCACATAATCTTCTGGTTGAAGGGGATCTTGGTCTCGGGCTGCTGAACCTCGGGGAGGAACGGCACGAACGGCTTGACCAAGTCAAGAAAACGGACTAAAAGTAAGAGCGCATGTTAGCAGAAGCTGGAGAAGAGCCAATTGATGCGCAATGGCGTCGGGCGATGCGGTTCGGCCGCTTGCAGACGACGGCGAGCAGTCGCGCGACAAAAGAGCGACATGGCGAGAACAGACGAGGGGCGGAAAGTAAAAGGCTGTCAACGTACGAGAACTCATGGTGGCGGCAGTGAAAGGAAAACAATAAACAAGAGACTCAATTCATCCAAAGGAAAGAAATGAAGGAAAAGAAGGAGCTGCGATGAGCTCAAAAAAAGGGTGGTGGTGGCAGGATAGGGAGGAGGCGGTCCTTGGGTCGGGGGCCAGCAATCTGGCTTCAAGCTCCAAAATGCAGATGTGTCCAGAAAAGAACGGGGGTGATGCACGTGACCCTTTAGGTTGGAGTGATGGAAGTTTGTGGACGCACCAAAGAGCAGCTTGGGCCCCTGCGTCTGGCACTATTACAGGGCATCAGACGGCTGTTATAGCGTTAATAGCCCAGTAATCCACCACTCACAAGCCATCTTCAATACTTTCAGACCATCAGCCTAACAGCCCAACTCGTCTTCCTTGTCTGGCCTGAGTCAAGCTCCTGTCTTTGAAGAAGCTTCTGCTAGCTGACAGCCCTGTGGGGAAGTTGAATGCTTTGATGATATCACAAAAGCGCTGCCCGTTGCGCCACTAACATACCAAACAGCACAAACCGGCGAATGCTCAATCGGACAAGGCTTCTCCTCCGTCGCCATGTCTCTACAATGACAATGGCAAATTCCACGGTCCCAAAGGAGCCGCTCATTGTGATATTGGGGTCGACAGGAACGGGAAAATCCGAGGTATGCTACGTCGGTACCAACTGAGTGCGCCAGATTCAGTGCTCACCAAAACTTTATTTAGTTGGCAGTAGAAATCGCAACTCGATTTCGTGGAGAAGTCATCAATGCAGATGCAATGCAGCTCTACCGTGGCCTGCCCATCATTACCAATAAAATCACAGCTGCAGAGCAGCGCGGCATTTCGCACCACCTGCTGGACCGCATCCCTCTCAGTGACGTGCCCTGGGACGTTACAGAATTCAAAAAGCACGCGCTGGAGACTATTCGTGAGATTCGCAGCAGAGGCAATCTGCCCATTCTTGTGGGCGGCACTCATTACTACGTCGAGCCGCTGCTCTTCACAGACGCCATTCTCGACGATGTCCAGCAAGACGAGACCAAGTCGTTTCCCATCCTCGAGGCCTCGACAGAGGACATGCTCGCTGAGCTTCGTCGCGTCGACCCCGAAATGGCGGAAAGATGGCATCCAAACGACCGTCGCAAAATTCAGCGATCTCTGGAAATCTATCTCCATACAGGCAAAAGAGCGTCAGCCCTGTATGCAGAGCAGGAGCAACGCAAAGCCACCGCCGCAGCTGCCGAAGCAGAGTCTTCGCCTTGGGAGAATCTTCTGCTCTGGGTATACTGCGAGCGCGATGTTCTGTGCGATCGCCTAGACAAGCGGGTAAACCAAATGTTCACCCGGGGCTTGACAGAAGAAGTCCAACAATTGCACCAGTTCAAATCAGAATGTGACAAAAACGGCACCGTGCTGGATGCGACAAAGGGAATCTGGCAGTCCATCGGCTACAAGCAGCTCGAGCCCTACATTGCCGCTACGTCCAACGGCGCGCCCGCCGAGCAGGTGGCCAAGCTGAGGGACGCGGGCTTGGAAGACATGAAGACGGCCACCCGACGCTACGCCAACTACCAGACCAAATGGATCCGTAGCAAGCAGATCCCGAGACTGACGCAGCGCGGGGCGTCCGCGCTTGACAGCCTCTATGTGCTGGACAGCACCGACGCGACGCGGTACCAGGAGACGGTGGTCTCGCCCGCCGCGACGCTTGTCGACCAATTTCTGCGCGGCGCACTCAGGCAATCTCCGCACGCCCTGTCCGATGTGGCGCGGCGCGTGCTCGAGACGGCGACGGAGCCCCGCGCGAAGCCGACGCCGCTGCAGCAGACGTGCGAGATGTGCGGGACGACGCTGGTGACGAGGGAGGCATGGGACAGGCACGTCAAGAGCTACAGTCATCGACGGGTTGTGCAGAGGAGGAGAAAGCTGGCGCTTGTGCCGGTGAAAACGGCGGAGCAGGCTGATGCGGAAAGCGAGGGGGATTCAGATACTGGGATATCGGCATTGTTGGGCCCATAACAGCAAAAACGCTTGTTCAGTAACACAACGTAGGACACAGCACAAAAATGGAGAAATGAGGCACAAACCCTTCGGAAAGCTTGTCACACAGAATCAAAATGTGGTGCAGGTCTGTATGGTTACGGTATGCGCCTGGTCAGCCCTACACCGTGGGGGCGAGTCGACGTGCCGACTAAAGATCATGTCGAATCATTCAACAGCCCGTAAATAAAGGCTGAATAGCGGTGCAGCAGTCCGGCATGTACACTTTTCAGGCTGGGATAAGCTGCTTTGGCTCTGAGAAGACACATATGTCCTGGTCAAACTACTGCATGGCCCTCTATGACGGGGCGTGAGGTTGTGTTGTATCATGAACCGTGGGATCGGCGGATTGACTCATACCGGTTGAGTCACCAGGACCCTTACCAGTCGCCTCGTTGGCCGCGTTTCTCCGGCCTACAACGACAGTTAGAAGACGGGGCAAAGAAGATCTTGCCTGGCCTGTACCTCTTGTTCTATAACAAGAGGTATGAATCGGGTATGCGGCTAGACTACGTCTGTAAAGGGTATAAACGGTTTTTCATGTTGTAGACTAAAAAATGGTGATAGTGCCCCCAAAACTTCTTGCCATAGCGCTCTACTACGCCAAGAAATTTCTGAAAGTTGAAAAGCTCTTGGTTATGTCCCTCCGGAGTACCAATTAGCTCCTTATCTACTCACCACTGGGTAAGGCTGCCGCCCAAGTCTAGAAGCTAAAGGTTCTGCTTCTCATCGACAATGACGTTGACTGGCTTGCAATCGCCCCAAAAGAGGCCAATGTCATGCAGATCCGTCATCGCTTCCTCGATCTGGTCTGCCCACTTCTGTCTGGTATCGAGGTCAATATTGCCCATGTAGATGCTGTCTAGAGTCGCGCCTAGGTGGGACGACTCGACCCATTCGCGCAGAAAGCCAATGATAATCCCCGTTTCGGCGTGTGTCACGTAGCCTAGGAGACGCGGTGTAGCAATTTTGATTTTCATGCGCTCCTCGGCGTCGTGAATTGCGACCAAGCCGCCATCTTCCTCTTGAGTTTGTCACTTTCGAGGCCCATCTGTGGCGTCCTGGACATCATAATTTCAACCTTGCCGAGGGCGCGAACCTTGCACACAGGACTACTACCGCTTTTCATCTCGCGGAAGACCTGTAATCCGGCTGCCTAGTATAATGGGAACCGAGGGTCTGGCTTGAAGGCATGGTCGACACAGGCTTGTCTCTCGGTCTTTGGGGCACAGGCAGCCTGGTCAGGGCCAATTTCAAAGACTTGGGGCTTTCCATCAATTGTTTGAAGACGAAAGTGGACAATCTGGTACCAGACTAGGTCCGGAGGCGCCTTCTTCTAAAACAGGGGCCAGGCGAGACGGAGAATGACCTTTTCCACCTTTTCCCGCAAAAGTTGATGCTTTTCCCAGCCATCTGCATAGTTGTCATCGTCGGATGTTTCATTCAACTCTTGCTCACTAGCTACTTCGGCTTCGCGCAGAAGATGAATGAGTCTTGTTTGAGCCTCGGACGCAGGGGCAGCAATTAGCGAAACAAGCAGGTCCTTGTAACGGTATATGAACGTGGCGAGTGCATGTTCCTTGTGAGCAGGAACATTGATGTAGAGACTAAAGGGGCTTCTAGCTTCATTTCGCGGATTGGCTCACCGCGTTGCATCACTCGGGGTGGCTTATTGGAAATTTTGGTGATCGGTGGTCGGCCATTGTCGCGTCCGGCTTCCGTGGACGTTACGCGTATTAGCGGCCACTCAGGCAAGGGTCCACCAGCAGCCTCCCCTGCCCAGCAGCGTGAAGGCCCGGAGGGCTGAAGCGAGTAATTCTCTTGTCGAGAAGATTCGCAAATGAAAGTTGGTCAGTTGACCGTGATCGATTTTCGTCTTATTTCGTCTTATTAGTGCGAAGCTTTCATATCAGCGGGCGAATCCGGCGAGTCATGACCAAGCTGGATGTTTTTGGACCTTGCTCCGAAGCTGTACATGCAGCTCGTTGGCGGATGGCCAACGTTGGCAGTTGCGATGTTTGTTCGGTCAGTGGTGTGGGGGGTGTCTGGCTACGATACATATCTGATGCCACCGATAGGCTAGGTTTATCTGCGTCTGGCAGTCATCCGGCCAAAGGCAATTCATCTTTGTTAGATTGCAGGGTCCCAGCGGCAGGCTCAGCCACGGTAGAAATGACGACGACAAAAGACAGTTGTTGCCCGGGATCCGATGATGAGGCTGAGGCTGGTAACTAGCTGCAGGAATGGACTCCGCGATTGTGTCGTTTGCTGGCAAGGTGCTAGCCATGGGCAGGGCAGATCAAGCCACGGGGACGCAGACAATTGGACCGGTGCAGAGCGGGCGATGCAGGGAAAAATATGGATGAATGGAATCCGGATACGAATGTGGATGTGAACATGTGCGGAAATGGAGTTGATGCTAGTTACTTTACTCTACATCGTTCTATGCGCTTCGGTAGTTTGCGTGGCATTAGCGACGTCTGTTCATAAGGAAGTACCCAGAGGCGTTTCCAGAGGTTCCAAGTCACCAGTCAGCAAGCAGCCTTCTGGAACAGTATTTTAGTGGCTCCGCTAGGTACCACCGCAAGTCCGCTATCCCGCCTGAGGATCAACCGGCGCCCGCTGTAGCATTTTTCAGACCTCAAAACGCTGCACGCAATATTTAAGCTTTTTATTAATTACCTGGGTACCTACCTGTATGCACTTTGTCAGCCTGGCCGTCCCCGTCACTCACCCACGGCTGGCCTGCATGGAAGAATCAAGTTCGACTCTGTTCTTTTCGTGGCCAGTGATTCATTTATCGCTTTGGCTCCTCTTTGAAAATTCTCTCAGCCTGGTCAGAGATCCTTTCTCCTGCCCTGTCCGACGTTGTCGACCCTAGGTACTTTCATCACACATACATATCCACCCTCCCTTCCAGCTCACCTGCAAGTTATTATCCAATTCGCGTCCTGTCGTCAGACTTGTACAATATATCCTAGTCAATCTCTCGAAGCCGATGCTCCATCCAAACACCGAAGCAGGCTGCCGCGATAATTATTAAAGCTTTCTTCCTTTGTTCCGCCATTCAGCTACACTAGCGGCATCACTCGGCACCGACACACGCCCACCCGCTCCGACAGCGAAACCCCGCCAAGGCACCACTTCTGCTCATACATCATACAATCACATATTTCCAAGCCCGCAGCATCGCCGTACCATTTCTTGCTGCCTGCAAGGCTTCAACATTATTCCTCGCCCTCTGCCCCGCCCTCTTTGCCCATTAATCTCCGCGATACCTGTTCCTGCCCGATCTGGTGGGAATGCGGCCTCTCTAGGCACCTGCGTTTCCTGAGACTACCCACCTAGGTACCCTCACCAGATCTTTGTTTCGCGCAGCCCGTCTACCAAGCACCCCTCCATTGCGCGCGTTGGTTTTTTAAGACGACTGCCTGGTCGCCTCGCTGGCTTTGTTTTTGCCTCGAAGTTGCCTGAGGCTGTTTGACTGTTTTCTTCCTTCATCGCCGTCATGTCCGCCGTCCCGCCGCCGCCGCCGCCGCCGCCGCCAAACACTCACAGGAGCCCCCGAGTGCTCGCTTGCGTCCTCTGCCAGCACCGCAAGATCAAGTGCGATCGCAGCACCCCGTGCTCCAATTGTCTCAAGGTCAGAATCGCCTATGCATCCACATCCACTCAGTCATTGCGCTCATGAGCTAACACTTGTTATGCAGGCTGGCGTCACATGCACACCCAGCACACCCGCCCCGGCGCGCAAGCGTCGCCGCCCGAATCAAGACCTCCAAGAGCGTCTGGCTCGATGCGAGGAGCTTCTCAAGCAGTATGCTACCGCTGGCTCTCCTCCTAGCACCGCCTCCAATCCTCCTCCCCTTCCCGCGCCTTCTACCACGACTCCAAGCAGCAGCAGGAAAGAGGCGGTAGACACTCCCAGCAGCGCCACCACAGAATCGCAAGCTCTCCCACAACCTCGGTACAAAATCATCCAAGAAGATGGAGTCTCAAGATTCATGGATAGCCGGATCTGGGGCACCGTCATTGAAGAGGTAAGCTCGTAGTCTTTGCTGCAGCGTAGCCGTCTGCTAACACTTCCCAGCTTCAGGCCATGCGCAGCCTCGTTGAGGCCGAGGATCCGGAAGATGCCAGCATTCTAAGCCCCGAAGAGCTCACCCCCGATAACAACACCGACTTGATCCTCTCCGTCGATTATACACAAACCAACGCTGAGGACCTACTCCCAGACCCCATCCACGTCTTCCGGCTCTGGCAGATATATCTCGACAGAGTCAACCCTTTAAATAAAGTCATCCACGTGCCCACGGTTCAACCATACATTGTGGAAATTACCACCAATTTGTGCAATGTACCCTTGGATTTCCAGGCTTTGCTCTTCAGCATCTTGTCATTGGCTACGCTCTCGCTTGAGGAGAACGAGGTCATCCAGATGCTCGGCATGAGCAGAGAAAAAGCCCTGCACAATTTCAACGCCGGCGCCAAGGCCGCCCTTATCCGCTTCAACTATCTGAAAAATTATAACATGATATCCCTGCAGGCCCTCATAATCTACCTTTTCTCCCTCGAAAGTCGCATAGACACCCACTCGGCCTGGGTCATGAGTGCGACGGCAGTACGTATCGCTCAAAAGATGGGCTACCACCACGACGGTGAGAAGCTCGGCATGACGCCCTACGAAACCGAAATGCGACGCAGAATCTGGTGGCAGTTATACATGCACGATTTCAAGCTCGGCATGTTCTCCGGCCTCAGCCAGCATACTAGCTTCAATCAAAAATGGGACACTAAAATCCCTAGCAACCTCAACGATGCCGACTTGTTTCCCGGCTCCGCCGAACCCGTTCGCCCCAGAGAGGGACCTACCGAGATGATTTTCGTCATGATTATGTGCCAGGTGTTCGATTTCAAGCGAATGAGCGCCACCGCAGACGAAGAGGCAGAGCTTGAGGCTGCCATTCTTGGCCAGAGCGACGAGAGCGAGTACAATCACGCTAGACATCAAGCCATGTTCAACAAATATCGTGCTCAATCACGTATCGTCGAGGACAAGCTCATTGAGACGGAAGAAAAGCACTGCGACCCTTCAGCTGGCAAAATACACATTGCCGCCAAAGCGTTTCGGCCTCTCATGTTCAAAAATATGGAAGAGATGCTGATTCCCATGCGCGACCAGCCCGAATGGGGAACTGAAATTTTCGGTCCCAAGGACAACTTGTTCAAAATCATGGTACTTGGCTCTGAGCATCGGCTCACCCTGTACGAGGGCATGAAAGAGGCCGGCTTCATGTGGTTCATGAGAATCACCTTTTCCATTGACTTCTTCTCTTTTCTGACGTCACAGCTCTGCACGCACACACGTGGCACTTTGGCCGATCGAGGCTGGGCGACCGTCGAAAGCACCTATGGGTACCATGAGGAGCTGTTTGATTTGTCGCAAAAGACGCGCATCGCGCAGGCTCAGCTTGCTCTCAAGGCCTGGAAGGCCCGCGAAGCCTCATTTCTGCAGGCCGGCTGGCCGCTCGAGACGCCGCGCTTCATCCAGCGTATTCGAGAGCTGCTCCCCTCCAGCGACTGCCGGTCAACGAGCACGCCGTCGACGATTGCGACGCCCGCCATGCCCATGATGGGTCTGCAGATGAGCCAACAGCCCCTACAGCCGCAGCCTGATCCGTTTTCGGGCAGCTTCCTCGATATGCCAGCTATGAACTGGGACATGTTTGGCGACATGATGCCTGCCACCTCGGATCAGATTCCAGCTGCCCTCTACGGCAACTATGGTCTCGGAAACTTGAATCTGAATAACATTGACAGCATGCGGCGCATGTAGTTAGGGCGTAGCCGTGCTTTTGGAGGACTTTTGGAAAAGTTCAGCGGGATATATGGTTATATATACACACAAATGTATGGGGCATTTCTCCCGGCGAGGAGAAAATTCGGCGCTGGGGCAAACATTCTCTCCATATAACGTCCGAATGAGGACAAGCAGGAGCCGGGGACTTGTAGCGAGAAACGACTAGGTGCGGGGGCATCCTCACTGTTTGATTCCTACCTGGCGTTTCATTGGAGTTGTCGAGGCATTCTCCTCCACCTATGTATCATAATACACCACCCACTTCATGATTATTTTGTGAACGGCACACGTATGCGAAATGGCCTCCTGAGATATTGCGTGATTTTCCTTTGCCAGTGCTGTGTTGATAGCATGTCAAGATATGCAGCACAGTGCTTGCATGTGGCAGCAACAGGAGCACAAGTTTTGCAATGACGATCTTGGAGGGGCTGACGTCGATCACCCCGCCACGACGCAGATGGGCCTCGCCCCAGATTCCCGATCCGTCCTTGCCTAGGTGTTGCTAGTGTAACTAGTTAGCAATGTCTCGGCTTTTGACTATTACCAAGGTTCCACGTTGGTAGCAGTCACCGAACCCTGCATTTCATGTGTTGCCAAGGGGCAACAGTGATGCGGAGGAACTAACTAGTCAGTATCAGGAAGTCGACTGCTCCAAGACGGAGTCTGAATCTAGAGGTGGACTGTGCCGACCGGGTGGGCTATGCAGAGAGGACCGGTACAAGAGGAGGCCAGACTTGGTCCTTATAAAACGGGAACGTTGTGTGATGGTAGAATGACGTTGGCTCGTCTAAGACGACAAACATTGAGCCCCCAGTGTGAAAGATTCTCGAAAGATTGCAAGCGGCTTTTACGGCTCGCAACCAGCAGAGAAAGTCTCAGGAGTGAGACAAACACACAAAAGGCACATTCAAAGAAGAATTGGGTACACGGTTATATGTTGAGGCGATCGTCCTGCCGCGGCTGATGACCTTAACAAGCTTGTATACGCGGGTACATTCTCCCGCGTCCCCGGACCGGAGGCGGGTTTCCTTACTCCGCTTTCCACGGCTGCACCCCCGCAAGGCGGCCACGGGCCGCCTTGCAATAATGAACCGTTCTGATTTGACAACTTATTGGTAGCGGCTAATCAATGGAGGAACGGGATTGTCTGTCTAAATCTCTCGGCATGCCTTACAACGGACTGACATCTGTCCGCACAGACATAGCCGAGGTTTCCTTTGCTGCTGTGAAGACTATAAGGACAGGAGGACGGGGAATACACCAGACCACGCAAAGCCCATGCTTCTCAAGGGTCCTATACTCTAATCTTTTGTGATTGAAGGGCTGCTGTACTGAGATTCTCTTGTCCGCTCTGACTTGGGAAAACATCCATCACTCGAACTACGACCAATACCCCAACGCCGCTCATTGCCTGCTCCGACCAACAGCGACAAGAACCCTGACAGCCATTCTCCCGTCAGCCATGTCGACGCAAGTCAATCCCAAGGACTCTATGAAGTCGACCTGGCTCCACGGCGACCGGAGCCGGTGGAAGTGGTCGCACAAGCTGCTCGCCGGGCAGCTTACCGCACACCCAGAATACGACATCGACATTCCCGTGCACGCCAAGACGGACCCGATGCCCGTCCTCGCCAGCTGGACGTCGCACGTCTTTGTGCTGCTGCGCGCGCTCGGCACCATGCTCGCTCACCAGGTCCTGCTGCGGGTGACGGGCTGGCGCGCGCTGCCCGCGTGGCTCGTTTTTGGCCTGTACACGGCGGGCGCGCTGAGCATGATGGGCCGGCTGACGACGGCGCTGCGGCGCCTCGGTAAGGAGCACGGCTTCCTCGACGGCGAGCACGCGCGCGACGGCGTACCCGACGTGGGCGTTGACCGCGTCGCCGTCTCCCTCGGCAAGCTGATGCTCGGCCGGCCCGGCCTGACGGTGCTGCTCGCGTACCGCGGTGGTGGTGCCGACGACGCCGTCGCCGTTGCCCCGCTCGACGTCGCGGCCGACCCGGCGTGGTGGGCGTGGCTCGCGGTGCACGCCGGCGTCTACACGCTGGCGCTCGACTTCTTCTTCTACTGGTACCACCGCGCCATGCACGACGTGCCCGCGCTGTGGAAGCTTCACCGCCGACACCACCTGACCAAGCACCCTAACACGATGCTCACCGGCTACGCCGACGACGAGCAGGAACTGGGCGACATGCTCCTCATCCCGCTGCTGACGTACCTGGCGATGCGGGCGGCGTTTGGCGACCGCTTCGACTTTTACCACTGGTGGGTGTGCCAGATGTACGTGCTCTTCACCGAGTCGGCCGGGCACAGCGGCGTGCGCCTGCTGCTGAACCCGCCGTCGACGCTCGACTGGCTCTGGGACCGCTCGGGCCTGGCGCTGGCGGTTGAGGACCACGACATGCACCACCGGCGCGGCAGCAAGAAGAGCTTCAACTACGGCAAGCAGACGCTCGTGTGGGACCACCTGTTTGGCACCGTGTACCCGCGCGAGGAGACGCCGCACGTCGACCGCACAAAAGTGGTGTGGTTTCCTATGATTTAGTCAGATGCCGCACATGGCATGTCCTTGCCTTGTGCCCCGGATAGCCCTGCACGGATGTTAGAGGACGATGAAGGCACGGACGATGTCCGGCAAGCTTATACTCGATCATCGAGACTATGACTGTGAAGCGATTCATGTCTGGCAAAGGAAAGGGGATGCAATGATACCAACACCGTAGAGCAGCCCATGGCTGAATCGAGAGGTTTGCGCTGGGTATTCTCTGGACGGTAAACTCCCATCACGTAACGAGCAAAACGAGCAAAAGTATGTAGCAATTTACTCGCAAGATTTTTCATCTGCCTCAGAGCTCAACGCACTGCTCCGGCGACGGAACGTACCATGTCGCTACGAGACAGCTCCGTAGACAGAACCACGCTGGCAGAGTAGATTGTCGAATTGAGCGCCGAGATTGTGCAAAATTCTTGCTCTCCTTCTCAATAATATGCCGAGCCTGGAAATGTACCCGGCCACATCGACGTGAGTCCGGCATATGCCCGTCGCCTGTCTGCGTAAATGCGGCCGGCTTAGACGGCGGGGGCGAATACGTCGGTTACCGTCTCCTTTGCTAGCCGAGATGAAAGATGCCGCAGTGTATATGATCGCTTCGGCAAGGTATAACGGACTGCAGCTCAAAGGAGCGTGCAGCGCCCTTATAATGCGACGCTTTCCGGTATCCAAAGGAGCGGGGTACCACCCGGTGCTCGTCGTTGACCGTGATTGGCACCCGTGGCGTACGCATGCAGGGTTTTTACCAGCCATGTAGCAGCAGGGCTTACTTGCAGAAGCGAGGATGCAGATTTCAAGGTCCAGACCATGAGGCTCTTTGGTTTATCGATGTCTCTGTGAGCCGTGGTTGTCTTGGCGCGATGAGGAAGGAAGAGCCATTCATCTAGACTACGTACCTGTGCAGGTTCTAGGCAGGCTCCAGTTGTGGCTGGTACCTGCTTGGGTGTTTTTTTGTTTTTTCAAATTCAATTGGTAGTATCCGCGCATCTATAGTCCGTTGAGTCGGCAGTGAAAATTTTCCTCATGCGCAAGAGTAAATTTGGCCACACGGCTAGCGATTTCGCGATGTGTCAGTTGGAACCTTTGTGAATTTGTAATAATAATTGGCTTGGCATTTTGTTTGCACTTTGGAGTGCTTGAATCCGTATTAGCCATGAAAATTTTGAACTACATGTGCGCTATGGCTCCGAGGTATAAGTACGGGCAGCATGACGCTCATGATGTTCGTGGAGGCAACATCAGACACAACAAGTTTTCAAGACTCAGCAGCTATACACCAGTACTTTACGAGTTCAATCATGAAGGTTTGGCTCTACTCGCCCAAAGGAGATGATACATGACCAATTCTAACTATTCTGTTCTTGTTCAGGTCTCATACGTTTTGTCGACGGTCTTCTCCAGCCTATCACTGGTGTCCTCGGCGCCAATCGAAGACACCGATGACAAAATATTCCTGCGATTCGAACCGGTTTGCAACACTGCCAAGTCGCAGCGGATATGTGGCAATGGAGTGGCCAAGTGCCCTCGGCCAGGTTACATTGCATCTTCCGTGCCCCTCTGCCGGACTGACTGCATCTGCGTGGTAATGTGGTCGTGAAGGCGAAGCTGCCAAAGAGGACGAAAAGAAGGGCATTGAGGCAGACGCATGAAGCGTTTTGGATCATGCGAACGAACTACATGGAATCATTGCTAGTCTATTATATTTTTCTTTGGTGTGGTCGCTTGCACATGTGGCCGTGATAACATGCAAAGGGGTAATCAAAAGTTTTGCTCTTTTTTATACAATAAAATGTTGGATGTGACGATTTGGTTCTGTTTCATGCATCCATTCAGAGCAAACGCTTGATTCGTACAGCGAGTTGAATTATGCAATCGACTGCTTGGGTGAATAATTGACAGGAAGATCAAACGTGGACGTCGCTGTAAAACATTCGGTGCGCCTGTAATAACAACAACTAACAATAATATCCAGCAGCCCAGTTTCGCATTCCTGCACAGCCTCAATAGCGGCTGAGCCAATTTGGAATGCCGACAGTGGCTCGGCGCCAAGCAACGATCGGGCAAAGGGCGGCAAGTAGGGGCCAAGCCACTTGGCAAGACGCCGAGAGGGCGATCCGGCGAGGATTGTCGATGATTTCTTCTTGGCGACAAGGCAATGGTTCGCGATGATGATGATGACGGATGCAGTGTTGAGCGGGAAAAGGCAAGTCGATGAAGCCGCCGGGATGCCAGGCACAGCCGACGACCGTACAGATTACAGGAGGTAGAAAGTACCTAGGTACCTAGGTAGGTGCCTTGATTTGATGGGCCGGAGGGTGGAGCACTATTTGCGTTACTAGACGAAGTACTCAGTATAGTGAGGCCTACCAGCAAAGTGAAGCATGCCAAATGATGACGCTCAAATATGGTTTGGGCAAAGCAAACAGAGGTGCAGTACCAACTTATAATGCCCTTCTTCTTGACATCCGTATTCAGAATCAAGTTGATTTCTGACGACCTGTAAATATCCGTTTCTAACAAACAATCACTCGCATTGCTGGGACAGACCCCTGTGTTCGAGTCTCCACTGATACATCTAGTTATCGTTCAAGCCAGCCAACGCTCTCAGCCAACTCGCCCCTGGCTAACGCTCTAACTCGTATACCACCCCCGCCCTTGATTGGCTCCCGCTGCCCTCTGCCACTCAACTATCTGAAGCCCTTGTCCCCTGTCCCAGGCTCTCAGCCCAAGTTCAGGTCCAGGAACCGGATGTTGGCCCTTTCCGAGCGCTACGACTTCCCCCCTCCCACGTCCCCAACTGGCACGACCATCACGTCCAGATTTCATCCTCAATCATCAAACTTTGACCGCTCGCTTTCTCTCGTTTGATCCACTGTCGCATCACAACCCGGCGTCGCTGTTTGCTACTACTCGACGCAAGGAAGACGCTCTCTCCTCCCTTGTCGCTCTTTCTTCTTCAGCCTTGATCACTTGGCAAACCCCCTTGTCAAGTGCCGCGCCACTCACGCCTTGCCGACACAAACACGATTTTTCGCACCCGTCGACCAACAAAAGGCCATCGTCGCAACGCTTGACACCTGCGCACGGTATTACGGTACACTTACCGCCCGCGAATTCGTCGCCCCCGATCCTTAGTCGAGGCTGAGCTTCATGACCATCCTCCAACAAGACCTCTAATCAAAGATATGAAGACGCTTACCACCGCGGCGGCTGCGACGGCGCTGCTGTCGCTCGCTAGCGGCCAGAATACTTATTCCATCGACAGCGACGGTTAGCACACCCCTAAACCCACATGCGCTACCGCCTCTAACGCATGCAGATGCCATCAAGAAGACGGCCTCCCAGATGGCCGAGGACCTGCTCAAGCACTATCACGGAGACGAGCCCGGCCAGGTTCCCGGTATTCTTCCCGGTCCTCCCCCAGCTGGGCCCTACTACTGGTGGATTGGAGGTGCCATGTGGGGGACGCTCATTGATTACTGGCATCTGACCGGCGACACAACCTACAATGACCGAATCATGCAGGCAATGCAGTTCCAGGTCGGCGAGAACAAGGCATACATGCCCAACAACTACACGGCCTCTCTGGGTAACGACGACCAGGGCTTCTGGGGCATGTCGGCCATGCTCGCTGCCGAAGTCAAGTTCCCTGATCCGCCGTCGGACAAGCCCTCATGGCTCGCTCTAGCCCAAGCTGTCTGGAACACGCAGGCCAGTCCTTCCCGACACGACACGGAATGCAACGGTGGTCTTCGATGGCAGATTCCTTTTGCCAATAACGGCTTCGACTACAAGAACTCGATTGCCAATGGCATTTTTTTCAACATGGGCGCCCGCCTGGGCCGTTATACCGGAAACCAGACGTACATAGACTGGGCCGAAAAGACGTTCGACTGGGTCACGGGTGTCGGCTACATTGATCCTCAAACGCATGCCATCTACGATGGTGGCCATGTCGAGCACAACTGCACCGACATTAACAAGGTTGAATTTTCGTACAACAATGCCGTCTTCCTGCAGGGCTGCGCGTACATGTACAACCACACAGACGGAGCGCAAAAGTGGAAGAATTGCGTCGACGGTCTGGTGAAGCACGGTCTGGAACACTTCTTCCCAAAAGAAGACATTGCGTATGAGCCCGCGTGTGAGGGCGTCAAGACGTGCACGACGGACATGTTGTCGTTCAAGGGCTACTTGCACCGGTGGTGGTCGGCGTCGGCACAGATGGCGCCGTACATTGCGGATCAGGTGCTGCCGGTGCTCAGAAAGTCGGCGGCGGCGTGCGTGAAGCAGTGCACGGGAGGCGAGGGTGGCAGACAGTGCGGCTTCTACTGGCAGTCGGGTGCGTGGCAGGCTCCTGACCCGCCCAACTCGGGGGCTAGTCAGCAGATGAATGCCGTGGCGGCTGTGTCTGCGCTCCTGTACCCCAATGCGAAGCCGGCGGTGACGGCCGACACGGGTGGCACATCCAAGAGCGACCCCAACGCGGGCGTGGGCCAGGCCAACGCCTATCACAAGGATCCCAAGCCGATTACAACGGCGGATCGTGCTGGAGCTGGTATTATAACGTTTGTGCTGCTGAGTGCGTCGCTGGGCATGTTTGGCTGGATGAGTGTTGGCATTTAACTTTTCTTCTTTTGTGTTTGGGCAAATAGTCAGCGGATATGGCCCTCTAGATTTGCCATGAACTTTGTATCTTTGATCACTCTCTTTTTCGTTTCATCAGTATATTGGCGTTGCAGGGTCGGGGTTGGAAATCATCAACCAGCTTAATATAGATGTTTGATTGTGCTCTTGTTGAACGTGGATGTGTTGTTAGATGTCACCCATGGCCGTTGTGTAGGTCTGCATCGATAAGGACAGAGAGAAGCAGAATCTGCGAGGTTAGGTAGGCTGCCGATCTGAGTGGAATAGCAATGATCCAGCCACTAGCAAAGACGTTTGCTCGACGGCGCCAAATTTCTTTCCTCAATGGGCAGCCCAGCCCGTTGTGCTTTTCGCCGTGCATTTCACACAGGTCATCTGGCCACGCAAATGCAAGTCCAGGTGGGGGGGTTGCGCCCCAAAGAGTGGGCTTGTGGCTTGCATTCTTCCCCGCGTTTTCTTGGGTTGTCGAAGCGCCAGGAGAAAAAGTTTTTACAGGGGGCGGCGGGGGCATTACAAGGCAGTGATTTGGTCAAGGTTTTTGCGCAGACTTGCTAAATACCAGCCATTGCGTGTCGTGCATGGGAAGATTGAGATTTTAGTATTAAAGAACGGTAGTCTATTGAGAAACGATGCTGAGAGTTTACATTACCAGAGACAGACGAGACAACGTAAGCAATTGTGCATCAGATTATAGCGCAGGCGACCCCTTGTATTTAGCAGGCAAAGCAGGCAAAGCAGCCTCAAGGGAGCGAGCCCCTCTTTTCGGTCTTCTTTTTTTTTAGCGAATTTTCCTCCCCCGCGTGACCCAGCCGCCAGGCCAGCTTGCCAGCTAACAAGAAGTTTTGTTGGCGAATCTTCGTGGTACCTTTCGCTCATGACCTGTTTTCGTCTCCCTTGCTAGGCAGTGGAACGTCAGTTCCGCATTCTAGAACGCGGTGTTAAGCGGTGCCTTGCCAATTGCCTTGTTCCATATGCACAGCCCAAGAAAAAACCTGCAACCGTGTGGTGCCGTTCAGCACTCTGCTTGGACGACGGGCGGCACTTTTTACTCTCCCCCCTTCCCCACCGCCCGCTCTCAGGTTTTTAGCAGAACAGACCCAGCGTCGTGAACCTGGAAACGGAATGGTTGACGGCACGCCAAAAATAAAACGTAATAGCGTAAAAGAACAAATGTGCCCCGAGTCAAGGTACCTGTGGGTGGTGCGTTACAGTGGCGGAATGGTGTGCATGACGGGCTTGTGGTACATGACGGCAGACTCCAGGAGGTGGGGGACTGTTGTTTTATTTTTTTTCCAGCAGGTCATCAGACCTTTTTTTTTTTTTATGGCTTGGCTCGGCAGGCCCCGCTTCAAGGTCAACAGCTACCGTGGGCCGCCCACGACCGTTGTGGCTCGAACAAGTACGCTTCTTAATAAACGACGACGAGTTCCTCTTGCAGAAACACTTATTCTCTTCCTTCTGCTCTCCCACGAACATATCTGCAAGCGTACAGCGTTGACCTATACTATTCAACTCACACATCTTGGACGAGAATCTCGTTTTGTCATCCATCCTTCAGATCTCGACACTCACAACCACCACCACTTACACACACACACAAACACACCTCACGATGCCTTCATCATACGTCCTCACCGGCCGCGGCGGCGCTGGCAACACCCACCGCCTCACATCCACAGCCACCTCTTCCAAACCTGCCACCTCCTCATCCTCCTCTATGCCCGCCATCACCGCTTCAACACCGCGCATCGTTTCCTCGGGCGTCGGCGGCGCCGGCAACATGCGTGCCCTCGACCCCGGCGCGCGCTCCTCGGCCGCCCACGACCTGCAGCTCGACATGCGCCGCGCTGCAGCCCGTGACCGCCATCCCGTTGGCTATGCGGGCCGCGGTGGTGCCGGCAACGCCTACGCCTACGCCGACGACGACGCGGACGGCGCGAGCTTGCTGAGCGCGAGCAGCGCCGCCAGCAGCGTCGCCGAGAGGGCAAAGGGATGGGCGGCACGCGTCAGCGGCAGCTTTTCTCGCTCTTGAGACACCCATCCCCTCCTCTCCCCGTCTAATAAGTTGCACTGGATGCGCTTGCTTCTTGGATCAGAGTTGTCGTTTTGATCCTGTGTCTTTGTAGCGGAAGACGAGCAAAAAAAGAACTATCAAAGCGAGGCTGCATTTGAATCTTTGCAATTTTTTTTTTTCTTTACGACCAACATACGACTGTTTATCATGAAACATGTCTGCAAACTCTCACAATTCTGTATATTTCAGCACAAGGCGTTTCGGGCTCGGGAAACCAAAAGTCTACTTGTTCATTTACACACACACACATACATACATACACACACGCATAGGTGCAAACAACGAGCGGAGGGCATGGAACTTGGTCAGTGGAGTCGGGCTCCAGTAGCACGCAAAGCGCACTCACACTGTTGCCATTGTCCAGACCATAACCCAAATCACTTTTTTTTTTGCAATATTAATATCAATTCTCAATGGCGTCATTTTACGCCAAGTAACAACTTTCTTTACCTTTCAATGTGAATTGTATCTACGCATAGTCGCAATTTTCGCCATGAGCACTTGGCCACCCACTCACACAGTCAGTCACATTGATTCACAGCCTCGCCGCTTACAACTCAGGGTATCGTATTATTCTTCCTTTGCCAAAACAAAAAGACCACGCCCTCGTCTTGTTTTGCTCCATGCCTTCTAAATGTACAGTTATGTCTGATTGTCCAATGCATGCTTGCTTCCATGCACTGCCCATGTCCCCCGCGCTGGAGGAGGGAGAAAATCCTCTTCACGCAACCTGACACGGAAGAGCCCTCTTCCTCTTTACGTAAACTTGGTGTGAATAATATCGGGATTCTCGTGCCAGTCGTCAATGCTCACCCACATCTGCTCCCAGTCAGTACAGTCCAAAACAAACGGCAAGTGCGGTTGCGTACCTTGCGAAACGTGCTTAGGCCGGCCAGAATGCTGCCGCCAATCCACGTCGAGTACTTGCGCTCCGGCGGCGCGAAAATCTTGATCCGCATGTCCTTCACCGCCAGCTTCTGCAGCTCCGTCAGCAGACGGTCGCCGAACCCCTTGGTCAGCGTGCTGCCCCCTGACAGCACAATATTGCTGTACAGAGACTTGCGCAGGTCCAGGTCCGTCCGGTTGATGGCGTCCACCACGATCTGGTGCACGCCAGGGTACTCTAGCCCGATAATCTCGGGGTCGAACAGAATCTCCGGCGCTCGAAATCGTTCAGCCCCAATCTAGCCCCTGTCAGTCTCTCTGCATCATAATCATTGCACACCCCGCATCCACCTACCTTGAGCTTGTGCCCGTCGGGCAGTGTATATTCGGCATACTTCGAGTCGTTGGCCTTGACGCCCAGCCACTCGCGCTCCTCTTTTCTCGGGTCCGGCGCAATGTACGACACCGTCTCCTTAATCAACCGCACCACCTCCTTCTCCGCGCTCGTGTGAAATACGTAGCCGCTCTTGCGCAACAGCGTCTGCAGGTACTCCGTCACGTCGCGGCCCGCCACGTCGATACGGCGAATACTGCTCGGCATCGCGAACCCCTCGTACACCGGCACCGCGTGCGACACCCCGTCGCCAGCGTCCAGCACGATGCCCGTCGTACGTCCGCTTGCGTACAGCGACAGAACCGCCTGGATCGATGTGTGCAGCGCCGGCACGTTGAACGTCTCGAATAAGATCTGCGCCGCCGTGTCGCGGTTGCTTCTGGGGTTCAAAGGGGGTTCTGTGAGAAGGACGGGGTGCTGCTGCCTGTTAGCAATCTGCCATTGCCATTTGTTCATTTGCCAGTCCACACACCTCTTCGCTTAGCGTCTTGAGCCCCTCGCCGTAAACGTACTCCCATATCCGCTCCATGTCGTCCCAGTCCGTCACGATGCCGTGCTCCAGCGGATAGTGAATCTTGAGCAACCCTCGCAAGTCGGTTGCTGCCTTTTGCCCGATAAACACGTCACCCTCCAGGGCGCCCGCTAGCACGCGCAGGTGTTTTGGCCGCCCAACCCACGAGGGGAACACGCACTTTGGCAGATCTTCGCCCGCAAAGCCCGCTCTTATCGTGCCTGACCCATTATCCAGCACAATAGGTGCATTGTGTAAAATCTCCGTCATTTTGTCGTCGTTTCTGTCGTGTGCCAGTCCCCGGAGTCCCTCTGCCACTTCGCTGGGTCTGCCAGCAGAGCTAGTTCTCAGAGCTAATCCCGCCTTCTCAGGAACTTGACAGCCCACTTACAGCCAACAGCTGTGTGTAAACCTGCAATGGTTGTCGCAAATGCTAATAGTCGCAAATGTCGTTCCAAGGGCGTTGTGGTAAATTCGTTTTTTCCTTCCGGGGATTGTCTCGTCTCTTGGTCAATGGTGACCTATGGCATGCCAGGGGAGCTTCCCACCCAAGAGCCACTTGCGTTGGCGTTGGGGCCCATTGGCTACGGTCCGCCCCTTCAGGAGGTCTTGCATGTCACACATCACGTGCACCTCTCCCCAGATGGCGCGCCTTAGGCACGAACCACTTAAACCTGGCTCGCGTCGATGCGCGTCTCTCCCTTGTCGAACCGCGTCGACGACGTGCCGACAGCGTTTTGCATAGTCTCGACCTCGAACCCTGCATCACGGCCAAAAGAACTATTAACGCCCGGACAGACTGGATCCCAAATTTGACATCGTCTGCCAACAGCATCGTTATTTGCCATTGTCATCTCGACTCAACGCCGGCAGCTCTCAGCTGGCTCGCGCCGTTGTTCGATTCCCTCACCTTTCCAGCATCTGCATAGTGCCTGCCATAACCCTGTTGCGACGACAAAATGGTCAAGGCTGCACCGCCAGCTCCCACTGGTCCGGGCATATACAGTGCCACATACAGTGGTGTGAGTACATTCTGACCTGTCTGCTGGTGCAGTCGGTCTCCTCTCAGAGCATCAAATACCTGGCGTCCCTGCCGCGAACATCGCTAATTGTCCATCCAGATCCCCGTCTACGAATATCAATTCGGACTTGAATTCAAGGAACATGTTATGCGAAGGAGACATGATGACTGGATCAATGCCACCCACATCTTGAAAGCCGCTGGCTTCGACAAGCCTGCTCGAACGAGAATTTTGGAGCGCGACGTTCAGAAGGACGTGCATGAGAAGATTCAGGGTGGTTACGGCAAATATCAAGGTCAGTGCTAGACATATGGCATCATGGACGCTACTCACGCGAAACAGGAACCTGGATTCCCCTTGAAAGCGGCGAGGCCCTTGCTCATCGACACAGCGCATACGACCGCCTGCGGCCCATTTTCGAATATGTCCCCGGCAACGAGAGCCCTCCTCCCGCTCCTCGGCATGCCAGTAAACCCAAACAGCCCAAAGTGAAACCTCCGCTACCAAAATGGGGTGCCAGTAAGCCCAGCAAGTCCCATTGCGAAGCTTCAGCTGACATTCTAGGCACTGTCCCCATGCGCGATGACTATGAGAATACCGACGCAGTGATGGCTGAAGACGATACGCCTGATAACCTCACCATAGCCTCGGCATCTTATATGGCGGAGGAGGATCGCTACGACCTGGCACACATATCTACCGGCCACAGAAAGCGCAAGAGAGAAGAGCATTTGAATGATCTCACGGAACAACAGCATGCCATGTATGGCGACGAGCTTCTGGACTATTTCTTACTCTCCAGGAATGAGCAACCTGCAGTGAAGCCTGATCCTCCGCCGAACTTTCAGCCCAATTGGCTCATTGACGCCGAGAACCACACTGCTCTGCATTGGGCCTGCGCCATGGGCGATGTCGATGTCGTTCGGCAGCTCAAAAAGTTCAATGCCGGTATTGCAGTCAAGAACGTTCGCGGGGAGACCCCATTTATGCGATCCGTCAATTTTACCAACTGCTATGAGAAGCAGACATTCCCTGCCGTCATGAAGGAGCTTCTTGATACTGTCGAAGCCCGAGACAATTCTGGATGCACCGTTATTCACCACGCGGCGGTCATGAAGAATGGTCGTGTATTCAGCCCATCATGTTCACGCTACTACCTGGACATTATTCTCAATCGTCTGCAGGAGACCATGGAACAAAGCGCTTTCCAGCAGCTGCTCGATGTACAAGACAGTGACGGTAACACTGCTCTACATCTGGCAACCCAAAGAAATGCACGCAAGTGCATTCGAGCCCTGCTCGGTCGCAACGCATCATCTGACATCCCCAACCATGAAGGCGTTCGAGCTGAGGATCTCATTGCGGAGCTTAATGCTTCCAAGAAGGAGCGTGGGCCACAGCGCTCCTCATCGCCATATGCTCCTGATTCCCAAAGGCACGCATCCTTCAAGGACGTGTTCGCCGAAAAGCCTTCCAAGAAGAAAACTCATATCTTCAAGTCTGCTGCTGCAACCACCGTAAAGTCTCGCATCGCTCCTCTAATTGAGGAGAAGTTTTCGGACTTGGCCGAGAGCTACGACGAGGAGTGGAATGAGAAGAATAAAGCGGAAACGGAAGCCCAGCGTATACTCAACAACACACAGGCGGAGCTCCATGCTGCCCATCAGCAAATCGCCGAGCTAGAGCAGCAACTAGAACCCGACGACGTCGCCACCAAAATTATGAATGAGGCCAACCTCGCCAAACACCAGGTCCTGTCGCTCATTACCCACCAAAACCGCCTGCATATCTCGCAGGCCGTCGACGGCGAGCTGACTCGCATCAATGGCGACGGCGGCCAGGATGAGTCGTACGAGGAGCGCCTCAGCTTAGCCCGCCAGCTTAGCCACATGCTCGCGGAGCAGCGCATGGCCGAGACGGAATACGTCGACGCCCTCAGCATGGTCGGCGTCGGCGACAAGATTGAAAAATACCGCAAGCTGCTCAAGCGCTGTCTGGATCCCAAGGACGGCGAGAGCTTTGACAATAACCTAGACAGTATCATTGAGTTGATGGAGGAGGAACGCGACTTGCAAGACAGAGACGGCTCGACGGCGGCGCCAGAGCCCATGGACATTGCCGTAGGCATGTAAACTGCACGGATGCGGTTTCTTGTTTCTTGGTGTTTCTATACTAAAATATGGCGAGTTCTATATACCAGCAGACGTTATTCGGTCTTGTATCTCGGGCAGTCTTTTTCTGATGGGTGGATTCTTGACTTGCGGCGTTGGAAGGAATAATTTGGGAGGTTTAGCCGATAGGCGCAGTGCAATGGGACCCATGATTTGTCTTTTGTTCCAATTACAATTACCGGCGTGTTGAAACGATACGCCCTTTAGGTATCTGATTAATGAGTTGAAGGGTGAAAATTTGACCGTTCAATGCTCTGACTCGTGCCGTCGTGGGGACGTCCCGTCCTCTGTTCCGCCGTGGAGTCTGGAGAGAGTGGCGGCGCTGGCTGAAAGCTGGGCTGTTCCTCCCTCATAATAAATCTAAAACACGCAAGAGGGTAAATATTTGTCCACCTCATTCCCCCTACCTCTGCGGGCAGTCTGCGAACCATTTCGATTCCCACATCAGCCTTCTGCGTGTAGTATGGGGTGCCGATAAGTAGTCCCACGATTAACCCAACCTTCTGGCGGCCAATGCGCAAACAGCCATTCGCAGGCATGATGCTCGGAAAATCGATTCATACCAGCGATGTTTGCGGTCATGATTGATTGCGACAATATTTTGAATTGGATATCGAGGCCCTGTGCTTGCAACCAATAGAATCCGTTGTTGATCTGGTCTCAGGCTGCAGGTCTTGATAATGGCCTTGTTCGTAGTTATAGCGAGACTATTCGGAAGAAGTCGATGAGACGTCTGGATTGAGCTTACGACCGTGTATACCAAAGTATCCGCTCGTAGCCAAATGCAGAGTGTCTAAACACCAGCACGTTGCTCGTGTTGGTTCCGATACGAAAGGTTGCAGTGACGTTTTACAAGTTTTCGTTTGATTACCGCAGCGCCTAATGCTCACCTCTTATTTGAAATGGCCTGATGTCCAGCACTTCTATGGGGGTTTTAGTGTCTTACGCCATGAGACGACGTCACCATTTCGCACCTTGGAGAGCTCGGCCGCCGGAAGCACCGGGTAGGAGTTGACTCGGGAGGCAAAGAGCCAACACGATTTCCCTCTCCACGACTTATACCCAGTGGAGGATGTCGATGGATGAGGTCACGTTGGGAAAAGAAAAATTACACTTGGATACTTGTGCTGCTGAATTCAACTACATGGTCTCTGATGTGTGTCAGCTATAGGTTGTGTTCCTGCGCCCCATCATTTGAATCGGGAGCGATATGGTAGGAGGTGTGGCTTCATTGATAGGTACCAAAAGTTTCGCTAGCATATTGACTACCTGGCTCGATAGCTTCTCTCACGATAATGAAATCGGCACGCAAGCTAACTCGAGAACAAGTCTGGAGATCTGCAGGTCCGCGACGAACATGACGACTAGCGTGCTTGCATAAACGTGTTGGACGGCGGGGACGACTGGCACTCTCCCGTCGCGCGGGGCACGGGAGTGTAAAACTGAAACGGTATTGGAGCAAAAGAAGAAGTCATCAAAGGCATTTTGGAGCAGGTGCCATTGTCAGTCAATGCTGCCTGCCAGATGACCTGCTTGGCCAAAGCGGACGCTTATAGACAGGCTTTCCATAATAGTCTCCTCCCAACGAAAGGTCCGCAAGAAAGGCTCAATGGCCATAGTTAGCAGTTATACCTATGGACCAAGTATCGCTGTGACCTATACATGAATTAGAAGACCGACAGCATTGACACAGAACCACATGGACTGCAATGCGAAGCAAGTCAGCTTTTGCGCCGGACCAAGTGCCACGCAAAGGTCGCAATCGAGGCGCTCGAGCGAAGCAAAGAACGAGCTGAGCGTAATAAATAAGGGCACAAAAGTCTGCTTGAGAGATTATTCTGGTTCGTGTAATGCTGTAGCGGCGCCCTCATTGGCCAATGCATCTTCGTTGATCAAGAGGAGCCGGCCGTTGGCAGCTGGCAAGCCAACAGCGAGAGTGGTCAATGCGCATCGCCTTTTCCGGCAGCAATCAAGCAGTCGCCATGTTTCCCGATTCCTCAGCCCATGCTATTCTCATCATCAATCTTGGAGGATGGGTCATCTCGCCATTGCAGTCATGGGATTTAAAGTTTGGTCAGGTATTGGCAGGGACCGCTGGTCGCCTCTCAGCCTGCATTGTTCTTCTAGAAGACGCTCGAGCCAGGCGCAATTTTTGCCGCTCCTCCACCTGGACGTCAAGGGGGCGTGTGTGGACAGAAGACTCGAGACTCTTTCATCGTCTGATCCATCAATACCATCTGCACGAAAACGGCGACTGGGTCAAGGTATTCCCGAGTGAGGCTTATATCTGACATTTTATTATAATATTCACTGATATTTCTTTAGCACTCCCGCCCACCCTGATCGCGCTGCCGCGAAGCTTTCAATCTTCACCCCCTGCCTGTAGCCGACTCAGCTGGTCAGGGTTGTGTGGCGTCGGCGATCTGCGGTCCTGTCTGCTGTCGACGCAAGTGCATACATGGGCTTTGTTTTAGTGGTTTCAGTGGCCTGCCTGTCACCGATTTCACTGTTCATTCACAGGGCACTAACAAGCTGGCTGCCAACTGCGGAAGGTTGTCCCGAAAGCGCATGGCAAGTCTCGAAGCTCTGTTATGAAAAAACCCTTGGGGTGTGTGGGCGTGTGCATACGACATCTCTTTGTTTCCTGCTAATATACCAAAAAACCCTCTGCTTCTTTTATTAGTAGCCTCAACGTGCGCTTGCCACGCGCACTGCAAGGTTTTCGACAGCCCTTCTTTTCATCTGCTCCGGACCTTCGACTCCCCCGAGCCATTTCGGTCGCCTTCATCGAGTGCTCTTTCTCAACAGAACTAGCACACCGCTGCCCTGCCGAACTGGCGCCCATGTTATCCGAACGTAGCGGCCTGCAAGTGTAGACGGGCACTCGATAGTGGCACGGAAAGACACGCTGCAGGTTTCACAGACAATGGGGGCGTTGCGGGCAAAACCTAGCTGATAAGAAGACAACAGAGGTGAGAATGTCGGCCTGCATTCTTGCGGTCTTCTTGTGACTTACTTTCACACTGGCGCCCATCGACCAGTCGCAGCGGCTTGCTCCGGCATGGTCACCCCACCCAGCGTCATTTTCAGCTACCGTCCTCGCTGCAGGTCGCGCCACATGTACTCCGTACACACGACACACGACGGAAACCAACTTGAAGGTTTTGTTCGCAGCTTGATCATCGGGTTTGCAGCTAGCTTGCCTCTGCATGCTTGCGAATCCAGCCACTGCACTGCATTCCGCTGCAGGCTGCTGCACAGTCTCGCGCGACGGAAAGCCTGCTTTGAAACCGCTTCCGCTGCTGGCATGCCCTGTCCGCTCCGGCGCCGGAGATCGAATCTGCATTGATTGCCCCAGTATCGCAGCGCATGGTGCTGTGGCTGCATCTGCAAGGCTTGCGTGGCATATTGCTGCGTAAGAAGTGATGTTCAAAGTTTTGGTCACTTGCGCACACTGCATGGATCATCCATTATGCTAATAATAAAGGCGGCGACAAAGCTCGTTCGCCTATGGCTATCTCGCTAAGAGAAACATGCATTGAGCAGACAATGGCACTCTAGTTACGATCACCGGCCAGCACAACGGATCATGCAAGTCTTAAAAAATGGGGCTTGGCGTTTGCGCTACAAGCTCGAGTCAAATCTAATAAGTGCGCAGTAGCGGGAAAACAACAGCAAGCCTTAACCGGCCGATCCGCGCCCGCGTGGTGAGAACAGGAATCGACGAATCGAGTCATGTTTTCTCATGCTGTTGATGAGGTGGCCATCTCACGGCCTAACTAGAGCTTCGTCATCGATGAGATGAACGTAGCGTCTCTTATCGAGACGATACGGTCCAAATCAACTCAGTCTTGCGAAATCGCAGGGCCACCTGCTGACCATTGTCCGTGCAGTAGTTAGTTATGACTTGACAAGACTCGATTACCCGTCGTATAGCCTGTGGCCGCAACAGCGAGTAAAAGGCGAAACTCGTGTGCCCCTCGCTCCACAAGGCTGCGCGACATGCGCCAAAGCGATTGGTCGATGCGCTCTAGGCTGTGGTCAGTCGACGCATGTACAGGGTCAGTAGCTCTACCGCTTGTTCACTTCAGCTGAACTTGCCACCCAAGGGAACTTTGCAACGGTCTGGTGCGAATCGCATTGGGCAGCCCTCTAGTTTTCGTTGGTGCTCACACCCCGGGACGCAGGTTTTTGATCTAGGTGTGAAACTTACGCTACCGGGTGCAAAGGCCGACTTGTAGGATGGATGGATGGCCCCCAAGATTGCTACCCAACAAGCAGGCAAGCATGATCCGAGCCTCACTGCCTGCCTGCCTGCCGCGAGTTACGCAGTTGAGATTCGCGACTGGCCCGATCACCACGAAACTGCTTGCTACTACGGATAGCTAGTCACCATGCGAGTCAGCTGCCCGTTTCCATTGCGAAGAGCCACGGCGGCCTGCATCACTTTGACGACATCCGCCGCTGAAAACAGGGATGTCTCCTGCACAAGGTCCCAATAATCACCCTACTAGCGGAGGTGCTCTGTTGCAAGCGACAGCTCAGTTCCAGCTCAAAATCTAATATCTGTGGTCTTATGCCTGGAGCAGTGGTGCTGGTGCGTGTGCCAGTCAACCGATGTGCCACAGTCAAGCAGTGTGCCACCAGTGCACCAGTGAGTCTCACAACATCTGGCTTTTACTAGCTTGGCCTAACTATGCCGCCGTCTACCGGACACCTGAATACTGACCCGCAAGCAGGTTGGATAGACTGAGCTGCCTGCAGCATGGCAAACTGGCAAGCTGGCAAGCTGGGCCTTGTCTAGCTTCAATCTCTTGGGGCAGCGTGCTGCTGAACAGTGGCTCCAGAGCCGGAAGTTGTTACTGCCACCCCACCTTGGCGACCAGCTGTCAACCGTGTGTTGCTGGCTCAGCTGAACCCCATTTGCCTTTGCTTCGAATTTAGTTTTAGCGCGCCGCGCCATGCCATCAAGTGCGGAATGGTTTGGTCGCAAGATTCATGTAGCTCCATTTCTGTCAAATCGCCCAAATCATACTACCCTGGGAGCCGCCCATGCAAGATATATATTCATGTAGCACCCCATGCGTGGAGCCCTGTCTCGAATCCGACTCTATCTTTTGCGAATCACTCACTGCCTTTTGCTCGAATTGGAATAGCAGCGACTTGGCTTATGCGCATGCGACTCGGCTCGTCGACAGTTACGAAAACGCCCACTGATCTACAGCATATTCCTTCAAGGTCCGGCAGAAAACAATACAAAACATTCATCACCATACGATTTCGAGCCGTGGATTGATTCTCCTCGCGACCAAAAACCAGTCGACCAGCGCAGCGCAACTTCAAGCACAGCCAGCGGATCCGCACATCAGCACGCACGACACCCCACCATCGAAACTGCTTCGCCCAGCGCAGCCGGGTAATAGTGTTGGACCTACAGGCCAACACTGCGACATTACCCCTGCAGTTCCTGCAGCTGGTTTTCTGCTTGCCATCTGTGCATACCCCGGCTCAGCGTTGTGTCCAGAAATAGCTGGCGCGTTATAAGATGGCGGGTACGAGTCGCGATGACTTATACAGAGGCCAGTCAGGCAGCCTGCGCTTTTTCTTTAACCCGAAGCAGCCCACTGAGATTGCCATACTGACTGGCCTCGCCGTTCTGTGCTTTCTATTATTTGTTCGATTCTGCCTACAGCGCGGGGTTGCTTGGCGACACATGTGCCGAGCGCGTCACTTACAGGACACATCCTCTACGCAAGAACAGACAGAGCCAGCACCGCCCACAACTGACAAGATGCAACTTAAGTCTCGTTGTTACGGTTGCCCGAAAATCGCAGAGCAGCGCAGCAGCAGCGACGATAACACCTCCATGTCTCTTTCTACCATGCGCGTAGGGCGCCAGCAAAGACTCTTTTCCACGAGACTGCCACCTGCACCTCCACTGACACCACCCAAACTCAGCACTACCGTCTTTGCCTGTGTCGAGGACGTGGATGGTTTCATCAGCCAACCTAATCCAGACTACATGTCGGAGACGTTGTCGGTTCACTTTCAGAATGATCAGCCTACTCGGCTGACCAGTTCTTACACCAAGGCGGCTACAATTGGTGCGCCCGGTGAGGGTGCTGCATCCCTGCAACAACTCGCATCACCGCCTGCCGGGTCACAAAATCCAGGACAACCTCAAGTGAATGAAGCACCCCGTCGCAACGTGGACGTCAAAGGCGAAATCATCTCTCTCGTCAACGAAGACGGCGAGGGCTGGACTCGCCACACGCGCGTTTACGGTGGCGGAGTATGTCTAGCCTGCGCAGCGTCAGGTGGACACGAAGGTGGATTTTACGGCGCCACAGTGACACCCGAGGAAATGCAGCTCTGATTTGACAGGAGCTACTTTTCTTGGGGAAAAAGTTTTTTTTTGTATTTTTTTTTTTTCCTTGGGGTGCGATCTGCAGTTGCGGCGGTATCTTTGACGGCAGAGAGGGATCGCCGTGGCACGGTCGCAACTGTGCGCATCGAGTGAGGGAAGAGCATCAAGGCAAATCACGGCGTTATTTTTGGGCTGAACAGCCATTGGATTATTTTATGATGATGACGACGATTTCTTGAATTTCTTTAACAAGATTGATACAGCGCAAGAGACGGCCGCATTGGGTTGAAAGCACTATGCATACTTGGGCTCGGCGACGGCCTTTTCTTTTCTCGAGCGGTTCATGATATACCACACACACAAGTATATACTTTTGTCTGCTTAGAGCAGAATCATTCTGATGACAAAATTGAACACTATTTCATCTTGTACTTGATATTTCTTCGTGTCTAGGCAGCCATTGATATTGATATGCCACTCTGCGAGTACACGTCACTGCGCCTTGAAAGACCCGAATAGGAAGTTGGGGCGGAAGGCGCCTGATGGCTGCCGTGGCTTGGGGGCCGCTCAGCCAGAAAGATGAATGGCTGTGAGAGGAACCACAATCCCTGTTTTGCGATGAGAGAGATGTCCAGGCTGTCGTTTTGGCTAACACGAGTGCATTTTCGAGAGCTCGAGGGGGATGGTGGCCGAGTTGCGGCGCATTCTGCACGACGCCTTTGAAAGGGCACGAGAAGTGAATATCGTTTATACACTCTTTTTTCTTTCCATGGAAGTCAGTCCCAAGTCTATTCGACGAGATTTGTATCATTTTTTTCTTCTTCTTTGATATATGCAAGACAAAGCACGTATTATTGGCTGACACTCCATTGTAAGAGCTGCCTCAACTCAAAAAAAAAGGAAAAAATAGAGGGAGGGGAGCAAATAAGTGACAACCAAGTTGAGATGATATCTTTTTTACGCGATGCAACGTGTTCCTTCCCCCCACTTCCCTTTTGCAAAGGATTTCCCATCCGCGTTGCGCACCTATTCATTCCCGTTTTGTCGTCCCCCCCCCCTTCCCGGAAGGCATGATGATCGGTGACAGAGGCAGCAGCGCCCCCCCCCACGCAGTTTGTTGACAGGTGATTTATCGCATTTCCAATTTAGGCAAGTCTGTTCGGGGAAGAAGAGTCGGGCAGTGACAACGGCTTTTTTTTTTTTTGCCTTGCGTCAGAACTCTGGCGGGACATGTCCGAATGGGAGGGGGGTGGTGTCTAGGTTCAGCCCTGCCACAGAAAAGAGGCTGAGAGGCTCTTGAGTTGAGATTGGGTGATGTCGCTGCCGGCAGTTGGCAAGCGAAGAAGAAGGAGGGTGGGGGTGCCAGGGAGTACAGATAAGGCATAGAGAATTAACTTGATGGTCCTCGTGATCAAATGTTGTGGAATCAACTTATCCATAGAGCCATGCACTTCGGGATGAGATATCGGGTGATGACCACGTTCCCGTGTTCTTGTCCGCAGTGTGAGGCAAATAGGAATCATTCAACGTGGTCTAAAGAAAAAACAGGTCAATTCTATTTCGTCGCGCTGTTCTCAATATCGAAGCAAAATCGCTGGCAATTTCTCAACCCCAATTCCTCTCCTCCTTTGTGGTGCTGGTTACGTTCGGCGCGCGCTCGCAGGTTTGACGAACCGAAAGACGTGGTATAAAGTAGTGAGTAAGAGACAACCTACCTATGATCTAAACTATTGCTTAC